AAAAAATTTTGCATAGAACAGGTATGCAAAATATTAAGTTGGCTACGACTCCCAGTTCTATCAAGCCCCCACCAACTAATCTCAACACATCTCCATTCTCCAATCCACAATTGTATCGACACCTCGCCGGCTCTCTCCATTAATACCTCACCCTCACTAGACCGGATATAACATTCGCTGGTCAACAGTTGTGCCAACACATGCACAAACCTATCATGTGCCACTTTGACATACTCAAATGACTGCTACAATACATTCACGATACCATTTCTTACGGATTACCATTGTCCATGGACGCCCTCACTCTACAGAGCTACGCCGATTCAGAGTGGGCTGGCAATTATCATGACCACAAATCCATCTCGGGTTATTGCTGTAAAGGCCATTTTGCTCCCAGGTTCGTCCGGAACGATCGGTATAGGTTGTGCAGGAAAACATGTTTGGCTGCATGGTTCGTCTGGACGAAATTTAAATCGTCTGGACGAAAATGTTACAGAGCCTAGTCGTCCAGGGACGATAATTAAATTCGTCTGGACGAAATTCGTCCAGAGCCACTTCGTCCCGGGACGAAGTTGCGATCGTCCGGGACGATCAGTCTGGATATATATAGAAATGAGATATTTTGAAGAGAGAGAAAAGCCCAGGAGAGAGAAAAACGAAGGAAAAAGAAGGAAAAGTGATTTTTGGGCGACTCCCGTCCGTTTTCGTCCGTTGCAGTAGTTCAAGAAATTGGTGTACGTAAGGTAAGGCACATTCCGCCTTTCTTAATTTTCAGAACGGTGAAGTTTGAACGTTTTTTCTGTCCGGATTTCGTTTTCGTTAGCGAATTTCGTCCGTATTTTTTGATTGGTCCAGTTTTTATCGCGTAACTTTTGGTATGTTTCTGAGGTGCCGAGTGCGCACATTTTGATTATTTTATGGAGAATTTTGACCGGATAGTTTTGATTCGGTGGTGTTTTCTTTTGACTGTAATTTCTGATGATGTCTGAAATTATCTGGGCAGTAGAATAAAAGTCTTATAATGTTGTTGTGAATGTTCTCTGGTAATTTGGTAAATTTTTGAATCTGTGAATTTTGTGAAAATTCCGTATACTGCCGTTATGCCGCTGGATTTTCGTACGATTTTTGAAATTGTCCGGATTTGTTTTGAAATGACATGATATGATTGTGTGCTATGAAAAGGGAGTTATAAGGGGTCAGGATCCTGTGAGATCCTGTCTGTGTCAGAGAAAATCTGAAATGAGCTCTGAAATCTGAAAATAAGTTCTTTTCCAGATCCGATGATAAGTTCTGTTCTGGTGCTATAAGCACATCTGTTCTGGTGCCATGAGCACAAAGGGAGACATAAGGGGTCAGAATCCGAGAGATTCTGTCAGTGTCTGGGAAGGGAGGTACAAGGGGCCAGAATCCGTTGAGATTCTGTCAGGGTCAGGGAATCTGTTCTGACTTTTGATATGTTCTGAATGGATATGATTTTTGATTTCCGTATAATTCTGATATGATTCTGTTCTATTCTGATTTGATCTGATCTGTACGATTCTGTTCTGTTCTGATTTGATCTGATTTTGATATGGTTCTGTTCTGTTCTGTTCTGATTTGATCTGATTCTGATACGATTATATTATGTTCTGATTTGATCTGATCTGTATGATTCTATTCTGATTATGATTTCTGTGATTTCTATTCTATTCTAATTCGATATATGATTCTGTTGATCTGATTTCTGTACGGATTTTATCTGATGTGGATTCTGAGGATTCTGATTAGAGGTTTGATATCTTGCTGAGTTGTTGTAGCTCATCCTTATTTTCTGCGTGATTTTTAGGTTCTGGGAAAGGGAAGGAAGTCTTGGAGTAGGAGTTCAGAGTCTGATCTGTTATAGGTAATGGATATGATTTCTGATTTCCGTATGATTCTGATATGATTATGTTCTGTTCTGATTTGATTTGATCTGTACGATTCTGTTCTGTTCTGATTTGATCTGATTCTGATACTGTTCTGTTCTGTTCTGATTTGATCTGATTCTGATACGATTCTGTTCTGTTCTGATTTGATCTGATCTGTATGATTCTATTCTGATTATGATTTCTGTGATTTCTATTATGTTCTGATTCGATATACGATTCTGTTGATCTGATTTCTGTACGAATTTTGTCTGATGTGTTTGATGATTCGATATACGATTCTGTTGATCTGATTTCTGTACGGATTTTGTCTGATGTGTTTGATGTGGATTCTGAGGATTCTGATTGGAGGTTTGATGTCTTGCTGAGCTGTTGTAGCTCATCCTTATTTTCTACATGGTTTTTAGGTTCTGGGAAAGGGAAGGAAGTCTTGGAGTAGGAGTTCAGAGTCTGATCTATTATAAGTATTTTGTACTTTTGATCTTTTGAACAGTCATGGCTTTTCTGTTCTGTTTTTCTTTCTGTCTGAAAGCCATGAGCTGTATTTGTATATGATTCTTTTGAGAAAGAAAAAGATAGATGATCTGTTCCGCTGTATTTGATGTTTATAGTAGCTCTGTGTGTCTGTTTCTGTGCGTAAATGTTTGGAAGAAAGTTCTGAAACAAATTCCAAAGCCAGATCTTGGAATCAGTTCAGTTAGTTTGAGTTTGGATCACGACCCGATGCTAGCGGGATCCGTCCCGGTCGGGTTGGGTCATGACAATTGTAATTTCTTAGGCAAGCCATTGATATCCTAGCAAGTGAAGAAGCAACCTCAATAGCGTGCTCCTCCATTGTGGCCGAATATCAGTCATTGGCAACAACAGCTTCAAAAATTATATGGCTTCGAAGACTCCTAGTTAATTTTACATCCCCATTACCAAACTAACCATGTTATTCTGTGATAACATGTCTGTAATCACCCTCACCAACAACCCGGTGTTCCATGTACGCACCAAACATATAGAAGTCGACTGTCACTTCATTCGCGATTGTATCCATACTAAATAAATTATAGTGCACCACATAGCTACGAGAGATCAGCTCGCTGATATGTTTCCCAAATCCTTATCAATCCCTCGGTTTAAGGCTTTAGCCAACAAACTAACTGCAGCCATCACTCCATCAGTTTGAAGGGGCATGCAAGAGCAAGAAATAATAGTACATATGGGCACTCTCAATGCTTCACATGCCAAGCTGCTGTTGCTGATTCCCTCTGCTAAACTTTGTACATGTTCGTTAGAAGCTAGTGTATAAATACACTATGTAATCACATCCAGAGTATTACGATTACTAGTAAAATATATCTCTCCATCTACTGTATCTTCTTTGCTCTACTCTTTCTTATCTACAATACTCTTCAAGGTATCAAAATCAAATGTTTGCTTGATTGTCAGCAATATCATTACACTTGAGCAAATACAAATCTCAAAATTACAATGGAGCTCAGGACACTCGTTAGATACCAAAGGCACAAATACATCATATCTGAAGAAATATGCTAGTTTATATTCAAACAAAGAACCACTATCAGCGTTTGGTAATGTGGCATTATCTTCCACATTTTAATGGATTCTATCTTATCGAAGGGTTTATAGTGGCATGACATCCTCTTAAAACCATCATTATGATCTTCAAGCTGAGCTTGGCAATGCAATTTCCTTCTAAAATTTTCTTCGAAATTTGAACTACTTCCAAAGACAAAATATTTCCAAAATGATGCTAAAATATGTATAGAACATGATTTTTTTTTTAAAAAAAATTTGCTGTAGCAAGTTGCCTGTCTTGCTATAATCATAGCCGACTTAATATATCGGAGTGTCTTTGCTTATTTTTAATTTTTTTAACTCACCGTTATGTTGCAACAAAAGTTTTAATTAAATAATTAACGAAATAAAATTTTGAATTATAAAAATATCAAATATTTTCACGTTTTCTTAGAAAAATGCAAAAATATTTTATGTTTCATGTGTAAAATGCCAAAATATTTTACGTTTCATGTGTAAAATGTGAAAATATTTTACATTTTTTAAGAAAATGTTAAAATATTTGACATTTTTATTTTTATTTTTTAATTTTTTACTTAATCACACCCTTTTTCTCAATTAAACTTCAACTATGCTAAAAAAGAAAAACCTTAAACTACACTTCTTTGTAATGTATCTAGTTAAAATACATCCAATTTAACTACGACCTAAAAACAACCTAGGACCCCATCGGGCTTAATTGAGTTGGTGGTCAAGCGTGATTGAAAACTCCCAACCAATTTTCGATTCATCTCTCATGCAATGCGACTTCTCAAGTGGGGAGAATAACTGTATGATACTGCACCTGTGAGGCTGGTTATTGATAGGCCCACCTCATGATTAATTATGCCGTCATGCATCTTTCAGGGTGATAACAGATGAACTTTTATTTGGTCCGGTGAACGTACGCAACTCTACGTTCAACCGCCAGTAGAATCGCGCCACGCGTTTTCATTATTTATCGCACGCTTCGACAACCCGACCTGGAACAGACCCAAGATTGCTCGGTATTGCTAGGTATTGGTCGATTTTGCTCGGCAATAACCAATATCGAGCAATACCGAGCAAATACCGAGTTGTACCGAGTTTTTTCTAGCAATACCGAGCAAATCCCTAGCAATCTTGAGCAAATCCCTAGCAATATCGAGCAAATCCCTAGCAAATACCGAGTTGTACTGAGTTGTACCGAGTTGTAGAAAAACTCGATACAACTCGGTATTTGCATGGTATTGGTTTTCACAGAGCGGTATTTCTCGTTTTTGCAAAGCAATACCGAGCAAATACCGAGCAATTCCGAGAAAATCGCGAACATAGCATTCCCGGGTTCCGGTCTAGGTGAAGTCATTGGGACGCACTGTAAAGAATAAAAGCACATGGCAATATGTTATTGACGGCCGAACGTAGCTCTACATCATGTCAAAGGACGTAATAATTGTTCCATAACAAATAGATGCCCGTCTCTTAAAAAAAAAAAAAGTCCAACCTCACCCAAAACCCGACCTGCATTGATATAGGCAATTAGGCTTATCCCGGACGGACGTACCAAGGTAATAAGACACTTCAATCGTTGTCTTCAGATTTCTTCCACGATCTTCCTGTCTTACTTAAAAACAAAAAACCCTAGAATTCCTGGGCCACTTTGCAACAAAGCTCTCCTCCATAGAAGAAATGGCGTCACTGGGCAACTCCTTGTTTCCTGGCTCGCTACAGGTGCGATCCATCCGTCGGGGCCATGAATCGTCTTCCGTCCTTCGTCGGATCCGATTCCGTTTATACCGACCCCGGATTGTTCTTGCCTCTGCTTCCCGAGGGAGCACAAATGAAGATAGGGAAGGACAATCATGGAGCATCATCAACAAGTTGCCTGAGACATTTGCCGGATGGTCTGGATTGGAGAGCGAGGGCGGGGGGAATTCTCAGGAAAAGGGAGGGCGTGGAGGTGAGTGTTACTTTTTCTGTTTCAGTTCGTCAAATTGAGCCTTTTGATATTTGTTTAAAGTTATTAACTGTATTGGCTGGTTTTGATTCAATGACTTTTACTGGTGTCATTGGGAACATAGTCTCGAGCAAGGTTTAAAATTGCGTAAATAAGCCTCGAGGCGTTTTTCGTCCGTGAGGCGAGGCGTAAGCCTCACCGACGAAGAATTGCGTAAATGAGAATTTAAGGGTTTTAGCAAGTAAAAATAGTAAGATTCTATCCTACAATAAAAACATCTAAATGACAATTAAAATTAGGGGAAAGTAAGAAAATAAATGCAATAAAATCATGTCCTAAAGTACAAAACCACAAAATATTAGTCTATCAAAACTTCCAAAGTACAATTAAGAAAGAACATATATAATCCAATCATGTCCCATCACTAAATGAGTCTTCAAGGGAATCTTCTCACCCCTTCCTCCTCTCCTATAGAGTCCAATGTCTTCCAATCAAAGCATGCACTCATGAACAAGTAGACTAACACTAACAACTATTACTAAAGATGATGAATAGAACAATATGCCGGACTGTCGGGGGTCCAAGGGGGCGCTACCCCCTAGCGGGGTTCGACGGGGTCAACGCCCCTGTGGGGGTTTCCGGGGGCAACGCCCCCGGAACAAAATTTTATTGTAAGAGTAATTTTGAAGTTCTATTTGTTTTTGAAGTTCGTAAGTTGTTTTTATGGGAAGATACCGAGTGGTACCGAGCATGTTCCTTAGCAGTACCGAGCATGTACCTAGCGGTACTGAGCAGTACCGAGCATGTACATAGCAGTACCGAGCAAATACCTAGCTGTACCGAGCATATACTAAGCGGTACCGAGCATGTACCTAGCAGTACCGAGCAAATACCTAGCTATACCGAGCATATACTGAGCGGTACCGAGCATATAATTGAGGCGTACGCATCAGCTAGAATTGCGCAATTGCGCCTCTGAGGCGCGTCTCAGTTCAAGTGAGGCGTACGCCTCTGCCAGGAGAGGAATTGCGTAAGCCTCGAAGCGGTTTTGGGTCAAATTGCGCAGAGGCGCGCCTCTTATTGCGCAATTTTAAAGAGAGGTCTGGAGATACTGAATAGGTGTTGACAGTTAATCATAAAAGCATTTGCTTGATATGGTTCGCTTTTTGCTTGGCACTTTTCTCTATAATGATGATTGTGATTAAAGCTTGAAATGCTAAAATTGGTGTTTTGAACAAGAATATACTTCGTCCCATGCAAGAAAGACAGAAAAACATGTATTCGTGGGTTTGGCGTTTAGTGTATTGAGAAAATAAAACTGCAAAGGACTTGGGAGGAAGAAGCAACACCGAACAGTGAATAGGTGAACCTATTCTTAATTGATTTCATTGATAATCTTTATATCCAGGTTTGGTGATTTTTTGGGGTGAGTTTAGAGTTAAAGGTTGCAGATATTCTTAATGTTGGAGATTTGGAATTTGAGTTAAAGAGGAATGGGGGTGTTAACCATTTGGAGAGGAGTTGTGGTTTCTTCATGCTAGTTGTGTGTGATCGACTCATTAGATGGGTTCATGTTGGAAAGATAAAAAAGTAGTTGAGGGAAGGGGGCTATTGGGTAAAATTTCTAACACCAATAAAGTAAAGCTTTAAATGACTTGAGAAAAAAGAGGGAATATAGAATAATGTGCTGGAAAAAGCTATTCTTTATTCATTCCATTGATAAACTATGTTATTACTTCGTGCTATAGCTAGCTAGTCTATTTATAGGAAAATAGGTACTTTATATAGCTAGAGACCTTTGATGTGGATGGCCTATATCAAAGTAATGGCTATGAGTAAAGGGTTGTGACATATAGTGGATGGATGTTGGCGTACCCTTTGAGTAATGGGTTTTTATATTATATAGCTTTTATTATATTGAAGCTTAAGGGCTTTTAGAAACGGTAGCAAGGAGCTTGAGGAATCAAACATATTGTTTATGATCCATGAATTATTAGAGAAAAGTGCTACCTTTTGTAGTTTGAACTGATATGCGCCCGAATTTTCTTATAATACTTTTGCCTTAGTTCATTCTGTGAGGTTTTACCATATTATTTATGTCGCAGATATTTTTTCTCTTTTGATAGTTTTTTTTCTACTATTTGTTAGACAACAATTTTTATATTAGTCCGGTTCCATGTTGTGCTTATACTTCTAGGATTTAGTTATCTATCAGTTGCTCAATATTTTTGGGGTAGAGCAATGAAGCCTTAGGTGCCCGAGCAAATAAATTCACTAGATGTTCCTTATAAGGTGAGGTTTTGGGCCAAGATGAGCATGTCCCTAGAATTCTCCTTTTTCTTAATTGAATAATTATATTATATTTCAAATTTTCATAGAAGATGATATTCAACATAGATGGATGAGATATTTTGATAAACTTTTAAATAAAAGTTTTCAAAATATGATGAATTGTGACCTTAACACCCTAAATGAAAATAGAGACTATTGTTTTTATCATCTTATTAGTAAAATTGATGTTGGAGAGGCTTTAAAAAGCTAATGTGTGGAAAAGCGGAAGTGTAGTAGAAGATCAACGAATTTCTTAGCTTGCTAAATTTTTTTAATATTATCTTGAAGACTAAAAAGATGCCAGATCAGTAGAGGCTTGTGTTGGTTCCTATTTTTAAGAATAAATGTAATGGCAAGAGTGTACAATTATGGTGGAATTAAGTTAATGTGCCATACATTAAAATTATGGGAGAGAATAATTGAGCATAGCTTACAACGTGATACTAATGTTTCTTAAAATTAGTTTGGATTCATGCTAGTTAGGTCTACTATGGAAGTTATATATTTGCTGAGAGGTTTGATATAAAAGTATAGAAAGAGTAACGAGGATCTCCATATGATATTTATTGATCTAAAGAAAGCATATGATAAAATTCTAAGAGAAGTGCTCTAAAGAGTTCTAAAAAAAAGTAAATAATGCTTATATCCCACTCATTAATGATATGTTTATAGGAGTTATTATTTGTGCTCAAACGCAAAGTATTTTGACTAAGTATTTGTATATGTTAGTTTATTGTTCATATGTTAGTTTATTGTTTTGCTTTAGTCATGGATGTTCTTACTAGGCAATTGCAAGAGGATCTACCTTCGTTTATGCTTCTTGCTGATAATATTCTTCTTATTAATAAGACTAGAGAGGGAGTTGATGAAAAACTTGAATTATGGATGTCAATTTTGAATTCTAAAAGTTCTCTTGAATAGATCTAAAACCGTATACATTGAGGGTAATTTTAATAGTAATAGATCTGGTGGTGGGATTGTGATATCGGATGATCAAGTCATTAAAAAAAAGTGCACATGTTATGTATATCAAGTCTTTTGTTCAAAGCAATGGGGATATAGATGGGGATATTATTAGTAGAACTCAAGTTGGATGGTTGAAGTGGTGGAATGCATTGGACTTGTTGTGTGATAGAAAAGTATTCCTCAAACTTAAGGGAAAATTTTTTATAAGATGGTGGTGAGACTTGTAATGCTTTATGGCGCAGAGTGTTGGCTATTAAAAGAGAAGCATAAAATTAAGTGTTATAAAGATGGGGATGCTCAGGTGGATGAGTGACTTTATACTTAGAGACAAAATGCGAAATGAGTATATACGTGTAAAGGTTGTAGTAGTTCTAGGCTTCTAGTAGTAGATAGATAAGATTAGAGAGATGGTTTGGTTGCATAAAATGTTGGCCTTCGGAGGACCTGGTTAGGAGAGTATATGTAGTAGATTTGACCTATATTAAGAAGAGTAGAGATAGATCTAAAAATGCTTGGTTAGAATGTATTAAAAATGATATCTTTTTTGTTAGATGGCTTCTTGTTGTTGTTGTATTTTCAAATTTCTTATTGTTATTATACCTTTTTTAAAGGTATGGTTTGTTGATTCTGAGTAACATATGTGACTTTCATGATTCATGATATCTGGACCTCTAACTGAAAACCCACAATTAAATTTTGATTTGATGTTTATTTTTGATAATAAACTTCAAATAGCTTCGAAAGCATCCCGTATTGATAATATGTTCTGGAATCCCGTATGGCAAGATTCTAATGAAATAATTGATACCAACACGCCAGATACCAGAATGTTATCTCTAAACAGTAAATTCTTTTAGAAATGTTCCAAAGTCCTTTATTTTTAGTTAATTTAAATGTTTGGAGTACTAATGACACTTCTCTAGTAGTTTTCTTTCAGGGATGCTGGGAGCAGGGCTTGCTGGACTCTTTCTTTTTGGAGGGCTTACCTTTGCAACGTTGTCCCTCCGCAGCAAAAACAGCAGAAATACTTTTGGTATGGATAATATTTTTGGCATTTAAGAAGCTAATGCTGATATAATTTGGATTGCTTTCAAGGGAAATATGATTTATGTAGTTTACTAGGTTATGAGTTGCCCTCTACGTTCTTCATCTCAAGCAACTAACTTATTTTCTTAAATAGCTTGTTAATCTTTGGCTCAGGAGTCAACAAACAGATGAAACCCTTAACAACTGAGCAAGAAGTTCTGTTGACTTCTGATGATCAGAGTTCAGAAATTGTTCAGGATGGAAATGAGACTAGTGCAATATCATCTGACAAAGAGACCAGGATAAATGACCACAATCCTGATTCTGTGACAGGTATAAACAAGGACCCTTTTCCTCCACTAGAAAATTCTGATATTACTGAGGATAAACATGATATTATTAATCAATTGGTGGTTCCATCAGCTGAAATCCTTGATTTGAATGATGATGGGATTGGATCTGTGGATAGATTTAATCAAGCTTCAGGTGGAGATGACCTGCATATTGAAACTGTTGTTGATGATATTTCTGTACCTGCAGATTCTAATCCCTTCCTACCTGAATTTTATGCAAACAATGCAACTGATTTAACCCCTAATGATCTGAATACTATGGAGTCACAGAGTATTGTATTTTCTGGTTCATCTGGTTCCACTGTCAGCCATAATGAGAATCTTCAAATCACCAATGATTTTGACTCGTTATCCTTTAACACTTTTTCAACGGATTATGCCATTGAGCAGGGAAATCCAAGCCTTGAAGATATTGTCAAGTCCAATGATCCCTTGGATATTTTGAGTGAATATGAAGGCTCACCTGGTGAGCCTTTGAGTTTAAGTGGTACAATTCAAGAGTCAAGTAATTCCATTGACACTGAGTTCAGCCCTGATGGTGTAATAGAAAATGTAGATTTTGTTTCAAAGGGAGATGATTTTCTTGATAATGGTTTGCTGCAGCTTTCCCCTGAAGGTGTTACATCAGGGCGAGTTGAATATTCTTCAATTAATACTGTTTCATCTGGCGTTGGCTCTAGTTCAGATCTTGGTCAAAATGAAGCCCTAGTTTTTCCTGCTGACTCAATCAATATTGAAGAAGGGTTTAAATTAGAGGAAGCTACCTCTATAACATATTCTGTTCCAGTATATGCTAATCACACTGAAAATGAACCTAATATTAGCATCTATAATCGAAGTAACAAAGACTCAACATTTGAGTCAATACTTCCTCAGAAGTCATTCCTTTTTACTGGTGTACCTGCTCCATCTCTCGTGTCTTCAGCATTGCAGGTGCCTCTAGGAAAGGTTCTTGTTCCTGCAGTAGTTGATCAGGTTCAGAGTCAGGCTTTCGCAGCCTTGCAAGTTCTGAAGGTACCTTAATTTATTTCACCCTATCTTTTATTTTTTCTATTCTTTGGTAAAAGCTATAGCTTCGGGGGTATAAACAGATAAAATTCACTTCTAGGGATGTCTTCCTGCTCTTTGTACTATATACGCACAATTTGCCACGATAATAATTTCATGGAGAATATGTTAATATTAATGTTAGTTCTGTGAGATTTTTTCCAAAAAAACTGTTTTTTCAATATCAAATCCTATTTAAGGTTGAATTTGTCATGTGTGAATAGAAACAGATTTAAAATCAAGTCCAACCAATTCATATTGGCAGAGGAACCATGCTTTTGTTGTCATCCAGTCATTTAATATTTGTAGTTATTTGGATAATTTGCCTTAATCTGTATAATAAGTTAATGGCATTTTAATATTGCAGTTTTCTTTCACTTCGATTGCTTAATAACAGTGTAAGGTGAGGTTGAGTCATGACATAAAAACTTCGATCATATTATCTCATGATACCAACTTCATAACTAGGTGATTGAGGCTAGTGTTCAACCTGGAGATCTATGCACCCGCAGGGAGTATGCTCGTTGGTTGGTTTTTGCAAGCAGTGCCCTCTCCAGGTGCTTATGCAATAGACTAATATTTGATTTCGTGAAAATGTTCCTCTTTTATATTGCGCAGTTTGAATCTTTTAGCCCACTTAGGCCTCGTTTGGTTCCCCCACATTTTTTCGTTCTTAAACGGAGATATTGCCACATTTTTTTCGTTCTTAAACGGAGGTATTACAACGGAGAAGCATAATTTTTTTTCTTTCCAGATCGGCAAAAATACGGAGGTGTAGCAGAAAGTGTTTTGAAAAAGTCACGTAAACAAACAGTAAAATAATAATTTTTTCACCAATTGAAGTCGGAAATGGAGAACTTGCGGCCAACCAAACGAGGCCTTAATTTTTATGTCATTAAGGCATGCTACATGAGAATAGAATATTATGTTTGTTGCCAAAGCTTTTAACTTATGATAACCTACGTAGGAATACAACTTCGAAATTGTATCCGGCAATGTATATAGAGAACGTTACTGAGCTTGCTTTTGATGATATCACTCCCGAAGACCCAGATTTCTCCTGTATTCAAGGTGAAAAATTTGTTATTTTCTGATATAGATTAATTGGATTGATATAAGGAATTCAAATCAAAGTTAGACACTCCTGTTTTATCTGATGGTTTGATGACCAATTTGTTTCCTTGTCACAATTCATGCCAAAGGCTTAGCGGAGGCTGGAATAATATTCAGCAAGCTTTCACTTTCTGATACGAGTGGCTCTTCCACCCAGAGTCAAGAGCCGCTTCTCTTTTCTCCTGAAAGGTGTTATTAAATTAACATATTTATTATTTAGTTCAAAAGAATATTTCATTTGTTTGTAGCTGACTTTTTGTTTTCCAGTCTTCTTTCACGTCAAGATCTTGTGAGCTGGAAGATGGCCTTAGAGAGAAAACAGCTTCCAGAGGTTGACAAAAATGTAATTGGAAATGCTTTATTTCCAACTCATCAACCTTCTTTATAGTTTGGTTCAATTCATGTTCTGGTACTCTTTTAAACATATCATTCTTTATAACAGCTTCTCTACCAGACATCTGGTTTTATAGACATTGAGAAAATAGACTCAGGCGCATGGCCTGCACTGCTAGCAGACTTATCTTCAGGGGAACAGGGCATCATTTCCCTTGCTTTTGGTATTACTTCTATACTATTATTTTCCGCTTGACAGTAGTAGAGTACATAAGGATGCTATTCTTACTTCCCTTTTCTTACAACAATACAAACTCATAGGTTATACCAGATTATTTCAGCCCAACAAACCTGTTACAAAGGCTCAAGCTGCCATCGCTCTTGCCACTGGTGAAGCTGCTGAGATTGTCGGTGAGGAACTTGCACGCATCGAAGCTGAATCATTGGCAGAAACCGCTGTAAATGCACATACTGCTCTAGTTGCGCAAGTTGAGAAAGATCTCAATGCTAGTTTTGAGCAAGAGCTTGCAAAGGAAAGGGAGAAGATAAATGCTTTGGAAAAACTGGCCGAGGAAGCAAGACTGAAATTGGAAAGAATAAGAACTGAAAGAGAAGAAGAAAACAATGCTATCCTTAGAGGGCAGGCTGCTGTGAAATCTGAAATGGAAGTTCTCTCAAGACTGAGGTGTGAAGTACAAGAGCAGTTACAAGAGCTTATGACTAACAAGGTGGAAATATCTTTTGAGCGTGAAAGGATAACCAAACTTCAAAAAGAAACAGAAAGTGAGAATCAAGTAGTCGTTCAGTTGCAATATGAGCTAGAAGTTGAGCGGAAGGCATTGTCCATGGCTAGGTATCTATCCCTAAACTAACTCAAATTCAGGCAGCGATATGTTTTTCATTTAACTTCTTCAAGTTCTTATTTAGCTGCATTGCCTCTGGCAGTTTTGTTGATTTTATCATTTTGTGCTTTCGTTTAGGCATGTTTCCAACCCTGCCATATAGAAAACCAAACATGCAACCAAGTATTGAAAATCCAACAAATTCCCATTCTTAATGATGTAGTGACTTCATTAGATGATTGATTACACTCTATTTGTTAGATTATTTATGATTTGTATGACATTTTGCCATTTTAATAAGTTTGAGATCTATATTTTAGTAAAGAGACGTTTCAGCAAAGTTCTAGTTTAGTTGTGATGACGATCAATATTTGTAATTTACTTTTCCTAGGACATGGGCTGAAGAGGAGGCTAAAAGAGCTCGGGAGCTAGCAAGAGCTCTTGAGGAGGCTAGGGAAAGATGGATAAAGCATGGAATTAAAGTGGTAGTTGATGAAGACCTGCAAGAAGATGCCACAACCGGAATTACATGGGCTACTGCTGGGAAGCAATCTCCAGTTGATGAAACAATTAGCAGAGGAGAAAATTTGGTCGAGAAACTCAATGCAATGGCTGCTGAAATAAAACTCAAATCCTCAATCGTGATTAAGAACATAATTCATACCATAGTTGCTTTAATTTCAGCTCTCAAGCGAAAGGCATCTGAGAGTTCGAAGCATTTGGCAGAGCTCCAAGGTAAGATTGTTCTGAAGGCTGGCAGATCATTAGAAATCTTCAAGGAAAGTGCTTCTGTTACCAGCTCTAACATTGCTGAAAGAGCAAGAAGAGTCCTTGATGATTGCAAAGAAAGCGTTGAGAAAATTTCACCAAAGTTCAAAGCTTAATGGATCTGGAACTTCATCAAATTTTTAGTATTGCTACTTTTTATAGTACTTTGTCTACTGAATGTACTACTTTTGTCAACTTCCTTTTGTGGGAAGGTCCAGGAGTTAGAAAGTTAAGAGTGATTGGAACTCCCAATAAGTTGCAGAACAGCTTTACAGCTTATTTTTTAGTTGTATTCTGCGTACAAGGAAAGCAGAAAAGCTGGTACTTTATCTGAAATAAATAATCGAATAAATCTGATCGTTTTGTGAATTTCTTGTGGATTGTCTCTAAACTTAACATATTGCATTTTAATCAGCCTGAAATTGAATTTTATTGGCTGTTTTTTTTCCTTTTCATGAAAATATTTAATAAGTTGTCCCAACCAATGCCTAAATGAGCTTAAGCTCAACTAAATAGTAAAATTAGAGTTTAATGTCCTTTATTTACAATACTTTATTAGGTATCTAATAAATTTAATGAAAAAATATATATTTGTTGCTTATATCTCATCTTCTATTTGAAGAAGCATCTCCTCCCTCCACAGGTTCATTGAAGTGACAATTATTTTAGGTTGTTTTTAAAGAATGAATATTATTTGGATTTGAGAGACATATGTTGTACCATCATTTAGATGGAATTTGATTCTATTTCTTCTTTAGATAAATTTGGCTACTTTTGTCAATTTATTATTTCTTTGAATTATAATATTATTGGTATTGATTCTCTATCTTTTCATGCCATATACTTATTTGATAATATTGATATAGTTATATATTTTAATAAAATATTGTATATGCGTTCATGTGCAACAACAAAAATAATAACAGCATCTAGCTTTTATCCTATTGTGGTTTAGGCTACATGAATCCTTTTTCTCCATTGTGTCATGTTAAGAGTTAAATTATTATTTAAATCTAATAAAATAAGGTCGTTTCTAAAATTTTCTAACCAAGTATTTTTAGGTCTATCTCTATCTTTCTTAACATAAGCCAAATGTAATACATCACTCTCCGAACCGGATCATCAGAAGACTATACCTTCGTAATGAGTTCATGTGATATAAGACAAATTAATTGATAAGAATTCTATGCGAATCGAGCTTTGAATGTCTTAGAACTAATCCAAATATATATTTATGGATATTCCCCCCACTCCCCCTTTTTTTAATTGGTCAATAATATTTCATTTTGTTCTTAAATAATTTCTAATACATCTATTCATATTATTCATGAGAAATGTCATGCTTAAGGCTTATAAAGCCAAAGTTGAGAACTAACTCAACAAAACAATTATAGGTATTAAATATAACTATTATGGTGTGTACAATGATAAATATGATCGATTAGGTGAACAACATCCATGACCCTTTGTCAAATTCAAAGAGAATTGTGGAATAGTATAATAGTATACAATGCTGGAATCCCCTAGTTTGGATTGTGTTATTGGGAGATGAAATCAGACTCTTAAGGACATGGTAATGATTATGATTGATGATGATGGGAGGCCTTTTTAATGGAATTTGGTTAATGAAAATACGCATAAATATTTAATTTATTATTTAAAGAGGTGAGCTAGAGTTTTTGGTGGAATGATGATTGGTTTGGAGGGATATGATGAAAGTTATGATAAGACTAGTTTTGTTTGTGCAAGTTTGAGCTTATCAGCAAGACCACTTTAGAGAATGGGTTTGGAGTGGGGTAAATGGATGGAACTATTGGTGGAGATTAGCATAAGAAGTAAAATTATTATATATATTATATGGTAGGTTTGGTGAGATTGAAGAATTTGCAATAATATGGAGAATAAGATGTAACAACCCAAAAATTTGAAAAAAATATTTTAAAATAAAAATTTGAATTTCTATTTGAACTAACACATGTCAACGTTCTGCTTTGGAGCGTTGTGGCACTATGCTTAAGATAACAATGACGCCAAAAGTTGTCTCCCTCGCCGCAATATTGGAGTATCTGTTCTACAATAATTCTGGATTAAACATATGATGCTGGGTAGGACAAAAACTATATATATATATATATATATATATATATATATATATATATATATATCATATG